TCCACTCCCGCGGAGTTAAGAGTCTTGCACACCCACAGGGGCAGTTCTACCCCGCCCCAAAGGGTCACCATGAGTCGGAATTGACTTGACAGTAGTGAGTTTATATAAAACACTTCCTGAAGATCTAGAACCAAATGCACATCCTGTAGATGAGGCAATGGGGGGTGCCGAGCAGTGCTTCCCAAGGCAGGTGATAGTGCCCCTGGGTGCTGGAACAGCCAGCGAGGTGGCAAAACCAGATTAATCTACACTATCCTGGGTGGCAGACTGAAAAGTACACGAGGTTTTCATTCGGGAAGGGCGAGCTGGGGAGGGTAGGCTGCTGAGGAATATCTTTTTTTTCTGAAAAAGGGGATGGAAGTCAAATACCTTGTGATCTAGAGCTGGGGTGGGCTATATGAGGCCAACGAAATCATCCACACCAGCTCACACCACACGCCTCGCCAAAGAGAAGCAGTTCCAGTCATCTCAACAGGGGTGAGCTCATTAAATGTGTGACCAGCATGGCCAAGAATGATAAGTATCCAAATGGCTCTGGGCAGAACGCAGGCTCCCCCTGCTGGTGGCCTCGAGAGTGACCGTGGCATCCACAGGGTCATCCAAGAATCACCCAGGAGCACTCACACCTAGCCAGTTGCATTAGCGCTCAGGACCTGGCACTGCGTTTGCCAGATAATTCAGGAAGGCTTGCACTTGGATTCCAGTTCATACATGCAAGGGAGAAAACGTTTAAACAGGCTTTCTCTGGTGTTGGTGGATGGTCACAGGCTGACCCTTTCAGTCATACAGTTGTCTTCAGGAAAAAAATATACTTTCCATGCTGTGTGTGTGTGTGTGTGTGTGTGTGTGTGTTATTCTGAGGCAAAGGCTTACCTACATTTTTAACAAAACTCAAAAGTGGAGCCCGAAGATGAACCAAGCGTAGGAAGTCTGTCAACCTCAACAAATGAAAAAACGTTGGGCCCAAGTTCAGACCCTAGAGGAAGAATTGCACTCAGTACTGAGTAGCAGCTATACAATAGACGTTGGATCCCCCACGTTCAGCAAGCACCTTGGCCTTAAGGAGGGCACAGGCATCTCAGAGCGATCAGCGAGCTCAAAGAGCTGGGTGTTCTCTTCCATCTTTTAAGCAGGATCGAAGCCAATGAAGCCAATTTTGTGGAGTGAATCGTAAACAGGTGGGTCGTGGCTTTACCAACACGATCCAGAGAGCAAGGTCCAACCAAAACTGTGGTTTCTTGGGAGATCTGCTGGGCCACTTCAAGGCAAAGCGGTCAGATCAGAGGGCATGGCTTCTGTTTGGGGGGGATGCTAACAGAGCGAACCTGCTTGATTTTCTCAAAGGGCACGGGACACAGGAGGTGGGGTGGGCGAATTATTGAGAAGAAATTTCAAGAAACTTGAAAACCTCAGTGGTGAGGGGGAAAAAAGGCCTGGACAATTGCTCAGAGGAATCCCCCCCCCCCCCAACACGACACGTGTGCTCATTCTGTGAAGCCAGCGAAGGCTGTCCTCCAGGAATGTAGTTGGAAAACCTTACTCCATCCACCTTGCCTTTCAGACTTCCTGATGTTCCCCCCGCACACGCTCCCCACAAGGGCAGAGGCAGCCTCTCAGGAAATCATACTGATCATTCCCTAGACTCAGCCGGGAGGCTTGGGGGTTCATGTCATCCTACCCTCCTCTTTCTTTTTTTTTTTTTTATCCTACCCTCCTCCTTCTCCCATCCTTGGTTGCTATGGTCCAGGACAGAGCCCAGCCTGACTACAGGGGAGTGATGAAAGACTTAGGGATGGTCCTACAGGCTAGGGTGGTCCAGGTAGGCACCCTAAGCCTCAGCAATGTGTTGAGACGCTGGGGAAGCTGCATCTCCTTCTCGGGCCCAGAACTGTAGGCATCATGCCACTGGGTGGATCCGGGAAACCAACCAACACAGCAGGGCAGCAAGAGTTAAAATGCATGGTTTGACGTGTGAATTGCCCTCATCAGAACTCTACCTTCCACAAGCAGTTGCTTTTAGCTTCTCAATGCATTCACCCGTGGAATGAGCAAGAGTCAAGGTCTGTGAGTGGCTGCAAGTCTACGCTCTCCTCTCTCCCTTTAGGGTACACAGTCCAGGAGTCCCGCACACTGACGGGCCGTCCTTGGGGCTAGCATCCAGTCTGCTCCATTGGTCCTCTGTGCTTCTCTTACCATGGGTTCGCCTCAGACACATCTTCCCTGCCCAGAGCCTGTGCGGGCAGGGCAGCGTGGGCACAGTGAGCCTCCAGTACGGAGGGTGCCTAACTTCTGTGAGTGTGGATACTGGCCAAGTCTGTTTTCATATGGATCATGTTTCTCAGTCCCGGGGCGGCCACCACCTGCTTCTCAGTTTGTTATACTGTGTGGCTCACGGGATGCCAGCAGCTATGCCACCAGGACTTGCAGCCCTGGCAGGCCTACCCACGGAGGCCAGGCTGTGGGGGAGCTCAGGTTGTCTGATCTATCTCAGAGCACTGGGCAGTCACAACAGAACAGTGTCTGCCGTTCCTGCCATGGACTCATCCTCAGGACACGGCCAGGGCGCGAGGGTGAGGAAGCAACAGGACAGCCAGTCACGAGAGTAGGAGCTGCCTCCCGGTAAAGTGCAGGGAAGAGGGGGGGGGCCACACAGGGGCCCATTTGTCTCCATTCCTCCAGCAGCTGGCAGTGCTCTTGATCCCCCTAAGAACCTCTCGCCTGTGGGGCGACCAGACTGATCACGGGGCTCAGAAATGGAAGAAAATCCGGCCGGAATGACATTCGTGGGGCCCCGACTCCAACTGCGCTCCTGGAATGTGTGTCCCAGAGGCACTGTGTGTCCCTTTTCAGTTAGGACCATCTCCCCTCCGCCCCCAGGGCCTGCCCCATTTGTGAACGTGAGTCCTACCAGCTCCAAACCCCAAACTCAGTCATTCAGTCCACGTCGATTCCTAGCGGCTCTACAGGACAGGGTGGACCTGCCCCTGTGGGCTTCCGAGACAGCTCTTGACAGGAGCGGAAAGGCCCATCTCTCTCCCTCAGAGCAAGTGGTGGTTTTGTACAGCCAACCTTGCCGGGAGCCGCTCAGCTCGAAACACTCGGCCGCTGAAATCCATGCATCATCAGCTGTCCCATGGGAAACCCACTGGCTGCAGAAACAGAAACGACACGCACGCAAGGACCCTACTGAATGTGCTGTTTTATTCTGGGGGGTACGTTACAGACAGCACGACACGCACACAGCCCGCGGGGTGCTGAAAACTAAGGCCATCCTGTGAGTCCTTTTTTAAAACTTGGTTATTATGTTTACACATTATGTTCTTTTGTAAAAAAAATGATGCACCCCAACCAAGATCTTCTTAGGAAATAAAAAACCGCGGGAGGTACAAAACGACGGGAGGGGCCGTATCTCATCTGAAGCTCATCGCGGGGCAAAGCCACTTTTCTGCCTACAAGGAAATCCCAGGTACAAGGCCACCACCTCCAGCCTGCACACACCTCCAGGTGTTACCACCAAGCGGTGTCTGCCGGGGACAGGGACCAGAGTCAAACCATTCTCCTCTCAGTGAGGCACAGAGAAAGCCTTTTCCCTAAGAGACACATGGCAGGGTTCTTAGGACCAGAGAAGAAAGGGCCCGTATCTAAGGCACTGGAAGCACGTGTTTTATACACAGAATTGTAAACAGTTTGGCGTCCGCGACCTCACTCCTTAGTCTGGATTGGTAGGGACACATGGTAGAGTGGTGGGGTCAGGGTTCGAAGTCGGAGGAAATGATCTCCCTTTCCGTAGAACTCAGTTTCCGCTGGGGTTTCTGTGACAAGCTCTCTGAATGGTGCCCTTGAAATGAATAATCTCAATGACTAGTATGGAAACGGCTTTTTCCCTTTCAATCTGCATTTCAATAGCACACAAAACACGGAAGGGTTTCATTCGGAGCCCCGTCTAAGGTTGATGTTGTCGTTGGTCCATTAGCGCGTTCTGCTAATGAAGTTTGAAACGAGTTGGGCTTGTATCATCAGAGAGATGTCTGGCTAAAGAACGCGTTGGCCCCTGTCTAGTATGTTCATGTGTCACGGGCCATGTCCTATATGAACAGCACTGGCTTTCCCTGGAAAATTTACAGGACGGTAATGAAAGACTTAAAAATGGACCGATGGTGTGATACAAATGTCAAAATCCATCGAGTTTGCCTTCAAAAGACAGAAAGAAAAGCTGAGCAGGGACAGGGGGCCCAGTAATAGTTGGGTGAGAAGGGAGGGGCTTTGGATCTGGAGGGATGGGCAGGGCAGGTACAGGTAATTCCTGAGGGTGACCATGATGAAAAGCCACTGTCGGCCAGATGTGACATTCAGTCATTGATTTCAAACAGCCATCTCTCAGGCCCAAATCATCGACCACCTATTTCTTTTGGACATTAGTTATTTACCCAGGAGAGGGGTTTCATGGAAAGACAAGGGGCGAGAGATGCGAACAGGTTTAATTTCAAAGGAGACTTGGCAGCAAAAGGCCAAGTAACCACCCCCTGACCCCCAGTGGGACTTATCTGTGTGACTTCATCGTTTCTAATGCTTAAAGCCAGTACGATGGTCACTGGTGCCCAGCTCTAGGCTTTACTGTTATGAATCCCACATAGTTTACCCAGAGTGCCTGTGTTTTGAATTACAGTAACAAAGAAACCCCCTCACCAGGCTTCAGGGAGTGCTGGCTGGCACTCAGTTGGTGCACACCACATCTGGAATGAGGGGCCGGGTGAGGCAGGGGCGTGGAGAGACTAGTGAACAGCTGGGGTGCGCTGGCTGCGTTCTCAAGACCTCTGGGGTAAAAGGCACTGTAGCCTCTCTCTCTCACCCAGGACAAATGCGACCCTAACTTCCTGTCTTTCCAGGAATAGCCAAAGGAAGTCGTGGAGAAACCTGAATTAGAAACCTCTTTTATTAAGGGAGGATAAAAGAAAAGCCCCAAACAAACATGAGGGCCAAACAAAGAAAAAGAGGAGGAACAGCTTTAAAAACCATGACGTTAAACAGCTGGGTTTGGAGCAGATGCGCCTAATAACTAATTAGGAACAGCCAGGAGCCCCAAAACCGCGTGTGAGGGGCATTCAATAGAGGTGGGTGAGGTACCCTTCCCATAACAAGGATGAAGCAACCCATACTTTCTCAAAGAATCAGCTCTTGTGAGTTCGTCTCACGGACAGCACTCGGTTCAGGTGTTGGGAGAGCCACCATCAGGCGAGTAAGAGGTGCACTGAACGGGAAGGCATTCGTGCCAAAGAGCGCACGGAGCTGGGAGTAGCTGGCTTTGGAGGCTGGTTCACTGCAGAGAGGAGGCTGACATGCTTGCTAACCGCAAACGACTCTTGGCTCACATTCCTGCTGCTCGGACCAAGCATGCCCATGACTGAGGTACACAGCAGTGCCCGCTTTCAGGACATGGCAACCACTAGGACATGCTCTGTGCCTCAGACAGGCTGGGGCTCTTGGTTCTCAAGATTGTCCGTGGACTTGAAATAATGGGAACATTTGGGTCAATATTAACAATGACACAGGGAGCCTGGGATTAAAAAACAGACACACACACACACACACACACACACACACAAATGAAAAAGGATTCGTTTCTGTCCTATCAGTTTGGTTTGCACACACAAATGAAAAAGGATTCGTTTCTGTCCTATCAGTTTGGTTTGAAGAGTACAAAGTGTCAAGGCTACGGAGCTGAAACCATTCCTGCCCTGTCTGCAAGCAGGTCTACTGCCGTTTTCACGGCAGACGTGAGATGCCCATGCACACGCAGCCATCAGACCCTTGCTTTTGGAGAGGTTTTAAAGAAATATTTTAAAAGGTGCACAACTTCAAAAGACAGCTTCTGACTATCAAGACAGAAGGGTCTCCAAAGCTTTCCTTTGAGAAAGGATGTGACTTTGCGTACACCATTTTGAATGCAGAAAAGCTGACACCTGCCCAGGGAACGCAGAGGTAAGCAGGCTCGGTGAGCAGGGTGTCGAGTCCAATCCTGTTTATTCCCATCTTGCAGCTCTCCAGCTGAGGGCTCCCAGCAGAGGGCCGTGGCTGCTCCAGAGACACGCCTGACTGTGCTTCCCTCGTGGGAAAGACGCAGGCGACCGTCTGCCACCTCGTCCAGCACATAGCTCGAGGCCAAGGGTTTCTGAGCCATGACACGACGGGCCTCCTCTCCAAATGCTTGATCCACTTAAGGTCAGGGATCCCGAGTTCTGGATGCCAGGTGGCATGGGACGGGTTTGGCTGGCATAGAAAGGAGTGAGGGCAGTGCCAAGTGAGGGTGTCCAGGCACCTGGTGAGGTGGGTGCCAGGAGAGAGGGAGGGCACTCCCCTTAGGGAGGTGATCTGGGCCTATGTTCATGGGGGCCAGATCTGCCTTTCCGACTAGGGAGCTTGCTAAGCGGTCAGGTTGGGCCTTTAAGTGACACATGTGTGTACATTGGATGATTGTTTTCTCCTGGAGCCCCAGTGTGTTCACAGCGATCAGCTCCCTGCTAAGCAGAATCGGAATTACATTCAGAGATTTAAAAAAGAAGTCACCTGTGCAGCAAGATTCCCGCCCCCCGCAAAATATCTTAGCAAATGACGAAGGTAGTAAGAAATATTTGACATCATCATGCAGAAAACAACAAAACACATTTCTGTTTACAAAGGCTTAGAACATTTCTAAAACATCCCTTAGGCTTTTTTAAGCGGTGAACCTTCTAGCCTCACTTACTCTTCTTTGATTCCAAATGTGCCTGCTTATGTAGAGAACGGTAACATGCAAGTTCAATCATCTCCAGCCCACCAAATAGTCTCTCTTGCAGCATGAGGATGACAATGGTGAAGACAAAATACCACCGGACAGGACTGTACAGGTAGATGAGCAGGCACATGGCAGGACTGAACAGGGTCCAGTAGAGGATGGACAGTAGTTTGGTCACCAGGACCCTGAGCTCAGACTTGCAGGGGGGGATTGCACTCTGTCCAGTGAAGTCGAAGTTCTTGTCTCCCTGGTAGAAGGCGCGCAGCCGCTCCTCCTTCTCCTCCCAGCGCTTGTGGCACCAGAGCTGCAGCTCCTCCTTGGAGCGGGGGAGGGCATCGATGGGGTAGCGGTGGACGTGGAAGTGGATCTCCTGGGGAAAGCTGCCGTTGAGCAGGTGCCTCTCCGTCTGGGGAATGTTGTGGGGGTACGCCACGGTGATGTCGTGCACAGCGTCCAGGTTCTGACCTAAGTGTGAGCGAGATAAAGCACAGAGATGATGCTGCTGCCTCGCACCCTGCAAGCCGCGGTCCAGGCACAGACACCAGAGCAGAGGGAGCCCGGTGGGCAAACAAGTCCATGAACGCGGCCTGTCTGGGCACATGGGCCAAATGAACCATCCTTTCCCCCTTTTATGATGCTTCCTGAGGGCCACGAAGACCTTTTGAAAGAAACTCTCTTTGCTTGAAACGGTGACCTGCTATTCTAAAGCTCTGTGGCTAAGCATACCCGGCCAGTGTTTTCCCCAATGAGAGAGCACTGGACTAGCCCACTCACACCAACAGGGGTGACCATTTTGAGAAGGAACACAAACTGAGAGTCAGATTGGATAAATGGTCAGAAACGCGTACCAATTTTTAAGATTTCTACACCTGACGTCTGCGTGGGACCCGGGCCTGGTACACCACCGTCTTCAGTAGCCTCAGGAGGAATTGCTTTGGGACTAAGTGTCTCTTCCCTCTAGTCATAAGCCAGATTCTGGAGCTGCAAAGTGCTCACAACATAACCGGGAGATGTGCCCCAAGTAAGGCATGTGGGGGTTGGGAGGGACCAGGAGGAGGTGCCCACAGCTGTCCAGGCACTGTGGGGACAGGTCCCTCAAAGGAGCCTGGAGGGGGAATGGTGAAGGGCTTCATGCTGTCCTAGTTCAGAGCATTCAGAACACTCGCTCTCTATTCTGCAGCTAGAGGCTCACCTTGCAGGTGGAGCAGCAGTAGGGAGTTTAAACCTACAGAGTAGAATGTTTCATGTGAGCCAGGGCTCTTCCACAACGGGCTCCTTCGGTGGTGCAAATGGGGACTCCTGTCCACAACAATTAGCTGACAGACTGGGGGCATTGAACTCATCCGGAGACGCCTCAAAAGACAGCCCAGATCAACTGCTGGTGAAAGGGCAGTTCTGGCAGCACACATGTGGCCGCCATGGGCAGGACCTGAACTGGCAGCATCTAAGCCCCAGCACTGTGGAAAGTGGCAAAGGATGGTCTGAAGAGGACCAGAGACAGGCAGAGCTGCTGGGGTGAGGGGCCATGGAATCAGCTCCCGGCTCAGGCAACCTCCTGTCCCGTCAGAGCCTTGTGAGCAATATGAAGCAGACTGTCCGCCTTCCATCCTAGACGGCAAGCTCCTCTGATCTTCCTCCTTTATTACTGAACTCGAGCGCCTCCACTGACGGGGGTGAGCGTGGGGGTCCGGGTGGCTGCACTTTGGGTGTGATGGACAGCAATCCAAACAGAAGTAAGAAAGCTCCCCCTGGGAGACTCCTGTCCCACAGGAACAAGGAGGGCTTGCTACTGCAATGCTGCAGCAAGAAATGAAGGGGAGGTGGGAGCCAAAGGAAGAGATGGCTGGTGAAACTGGCATGATATCATGGCCAACTGGGCTGGGGGCAGCAGATGTCCTCATGCCTGAGGCTTAGGGGAGTGAGAGGGAAGGTTCCCCCGTAAGAGGAGTGTTCCATCTGGAAGGGGCTGTGGGCATTAGTTCATCAAACCTTGCCTGTGAAGACCCAGACAAGCTAAGTATGTTGCCCATGGTGAACACAGCTTGTTGATGCCCAGCCTGTGAATACTGTTTTCTTCCATATCGTGTTGTCTTTAATGAGAGACTTTTGATGTGGACTTTGATGGGTTGTTAACCACAAGTTCAGCAGTTGAAAACCACCAGCCACTCTGCAGAAGAAAGAGGAAGCTTTCTACTCCTGGAAAGAGTTACAGTCTTGCAAAACCCATAAGGGTTTCTGTGAGTGGAAATCGACTCAATGGCAGGGAGCATGAGTTTTAATTCGTCACAGCACACATGTGGACAAAAATCAGAAGGGTCGTCTTCTGAGGGAGATGGGATTGATCAGAAGGCAGAATGAGGATACCTTCTGAGTGACACATTGATTAGAGCTTGGATTGAATAGTGTCTACCTTCATCAAAATCATTTCACTGTACATTTCGGATCTGGGCATTTCACTTCGGTTACATTTTCCCCCAATGGTGATCATATTAAAGAGAAGCTCCAATGCTTCCGTCTCAGTAAAAGAATCAGCGTTTAATAACAACTAAGTTATATACATTAAATAAAAACAGTACCTTCATCACCATGGCTTCAACTCAAAGCTAGAAGGCCTGCTGCATAGGGCGGCTGAGGGCAAGGCTCCTGGGAGGAAGCTGAGGGGTTGTTCTGGGGCACCTCTGAGGGTTAGCGGGGACCTGTGTGGCTCCAAGGGGATGTGGGTGTAGAGGGAGGAGCCACTGGGGAAAAAGCTTTCTAATAGCTGCCCAGGGTAATGCGGTCAGTCGGTCATTCACTGAGCAAGGGCTGACGTGCTGGAACCAGAAGTTGCACCCGGGAAGGGGATGGGGGGTTCTCCAGTTTCACTGAGCAAGATTCTTCTTAGATGGTCTTCCCTGTTAACTCACTTGCATTACAAATCAAGCAGCCTTTTCTTTGTCACTAGTCAGTACTATCTTGATCAATAACAGAGAAAAATCCCCCTGGACTCTACAAGCTAGTTTCACACTTTATTGCCGCCTCGACCCCCAAACCTCAGAGCCCCATTCCCTTACGCCCACCAACCCCAGTCAGCCTCCTCTCCTCGCTCCAGCTGTCCCGCCACTCCAGCTCCGCTTCCCTGACTTCCGCTCACAATGGCTCTTCCTTGCTACCCTCTACCACTTGCCATGGCAATGGCCCTCCGTGCGTGATTCAAAGTGGAGTCCATATTTCCTTTCCTTTCAGAACAACTGCCATCCATATCCTTGCTTCCACCTTCTGCCCACACCCGCCTCTCCTCAACCACAGTTATGGTCTCCATCAACATCACTTTTTTTAACAACCTTGACAAATCTCTTTTGTGCACATATCGCCAACTATCTCTCTACTTAGGCATCCTACACCACTTTACACACCTCATCTTCAATTCGGCTCTTATGTTCCAGCCATTCACCGTTAAGTGGTTCTTCCTGCTTATCAATGAAATACCCAAAACAAACAAGAGGACCCCCAAGCCAGTTGACAGTGAGTTGATGGTAGCTCCTGGGAACGCTCGTGTGTCAGAAAGAACTGTGTCTTCCTAGTGCCTGTGCGTGGGCTTGACCCGCCAGCCTTCTGGTTAGCAGGCAAGTACTTAACTGTTTGTGCCATCAGACAGCACTATAAATTGCCTTCATATATGAGAGCTTCTTACTCCTGTCAATAAGAAACCAAACTGCCCTCTGCTTTCCTCCACTTGGAGAGAGAAAATACACATACATGTACATATGTGCATGTCTGTGGGGTTATAACCTTCAATATATAAGTAGCAAAGTTTTGCAACAATAATGGAATTCCCCAAATGTAACATTTTA